TAAACTCGTAATGAGCTGTCGGATTTGCTGACTAAATATTTTGCCTAATAGGCAAACCGCTGTCCTTACAATTAGGCATAGGCATAAACGTTTTCAGACAAATTGTCCGATCACAGTTGATCTTGATTGGTTTGATCTATTGTTTATTGATTATCGATACGCGCTTCGTGATTTTTCTGTTGTGAGCGAATTTCTGATCATCTGAAATGTTCCGGAAATTTGATATTCAGATGCGATTGATTGTTACGATTGGTTATTGATTGGTTGGTATCATTATCATTATTATTGGTTTTCAGCGAATTATCTCGAGTGAATACGAGCAATTTAGAGGTATACGAAGCCGACTAAAAATGGTGCTGGTGATTGGATGAAGTGGTTCTGAATTGAAGTTTATGTGTAGGTGTGATTTGTATGTGAGTTACGATGACGATGATGCAGTGTTATTGTTGGCGATACTCGATTTTATTTCTTGTTCTGATCATCGACTTGATACCGGTTAGTGCTTTGAGCTGGTGGTGATGGTGTGCTTTTGGTACCTTTCTGGTACCACTGTGTTTGACCACTAGACATTCGACGACTTGTTAAATAGCCAATTGCATCCAGCCAATTTGGATCTCTCTTTGAAGAAGCATAGGTTGCGGTGTTTCGCGACCTCGCCAAAACTTCAGTTAACATTACAGTCAAAAGAACAGCATGGAGTAGGTCACATCTTGATGTAAATATCATCGAGTGGAAAATGGCTGAAAATTAAGTTTAAGTTAGTCTGAAAGCACACTTAGTGTCCAAAACTGACGGACTAAGGCATTAAGCTGAAGCGTAAATATCTCAACCTAAGTGCCCACGTGAGGCTGAGTCTGGATTCCAACTCAAAATCAACAAGGGAGTTNTGACATTTTGGGGATCGGAGATGTGGAATGCGAACACCAAGAATACGGAGGATTGTCTCTATTTGAACATTTGGGCACCTGCAGAAGCACAGTATGTTCGTTTATTTTATTCACTGAGTTAGCGCAAACTAATGCTGTGTGATCTATCATCTGGAGTGTATATCCCGAGAGCATTGCGAACGCACGTCGTCCATCAGATGAGATTTAAGCTTAA